GAAGGGTAAAAGGGGCCTTCTGGTATTTTGAAAATCCAATTTCCTCCAAGGCAGTTTAATATGATTAGATCCCAGCTGTGCTGCTTACAAGCTGCGTGACCCTGGGTGAATGACCTCACCTCCCTACGCCCCACTGTTTTTATCCAAAAACCCAGAGAGGATCATATTTAATGAAATGGTGCGTGTGTAACCCAAAATATAATTGGGCTGCCTTGAGGTCCATTTCTGCCCACTGATGCACTAAACGCCCACACCCATATGCCGGTAAGTGAAACGGCATAGGATCCTGTGGTTCTATCCCTCCTTGTCCTCTGCCTGCCTTTTGTCAGTGGAAAAACTTGACTAGAATAAATTGAATCAGAGAAGTGAGAAAAGGCATAAGCAAAGGAAAGCAGTCAAACAGGACAAAATAATAACAGTTTAGTCATTAAACAAAGTCAAGAACCTTTAGTTCCTTCTCAAGGGCTTATAGATAAATGTTCTGAGCCATGTCCTGTGAGCTGTTCTGTAGACACTGAAACCCCCACCAGGTAGACGTTGACTACACAGTAACCAGCCTGAAGCCATGACATAAGCTGCCACAGCTCTGAGAACCGGCCATGAAGAAAGGGGAACAAACTGACCCTGGAGCTGAAGTCTAACTGTATTTCCAGCCATCAAGATGACACCGATCAGACCACGGCAGGACCACTTTCAGGACGACTGTCAGCTGACTGTGCTGTTTCTGCTTGTAGCGCCCTCCTCTCAGCCCATGCCCGCCTGAGCCCCGCCTTTAAAAGTAGGACTGACATTCATACACCACCATGTGTAAAACATAGCCAGTGGGAAGCTGCGTTTAGCACAGGGAGCCCAGCCTGGCATTCTGCAAGGACTTAGAAGGGTGGAACGGAGCGGGTAGGAGGGAGACTCAAGAGGGAGGGTATGTATATATATATAGCTCAGTCTTTTCAGTCGTTCCTGACTTTGCAACCCTGTGGACTCCAGCCTGCCAGGCTCCTCTGTCCATGGGAGTCTCCAGGCAAGAATACTGGAGTGGGTTGCCATGCCCTCTTCCAGGGAATCTTCCCGACCCAGGGATCGAAGCTGAGTCTCTTGTGTCTCCTGCATTGCAGGTGGGTTCTTTACCCACCAAGCCACTTGGGGAACATTTAAGAACAATGAAGGATCCCTGGAAGAGGAGCACAGGTATAGGCAGTGCGCCACAGCAGAGTAACACCTGCGTCTGCCCGCTCCCTCGCAGCCTCCACGCAGCCCCAGCTGTCGCCCTCCCAGTCTCCAAGCTGGCCCTCCTGCCATCACCTGGTCTCCCTGCCTCTGTCTGCCCAGCCCCCAGCACTCCCCTCCCACGTGCCATGCCCCCTTCCACAAGGCACAGCTCCCTCCACACACTTTCCTCCTGAATAACACCCCCAGAAACTGAGGAGCAAACTTTTCATCCCCTCACTCTTATTGCTTTTTATATTCCTTATTTACTCATGTTTGACTGCACTGGGTCTTCGCTGCTGTGCGTGGGCTCTCTCCAGTCGTGGTGAGCGGGGACGACTGCCCAGCTGTGGGCCGTGGGCTTCTCGTCACGGGGGCTTCTCCTGATGTGGAGCACGGGCTCTAGGCACGCAGGCCCAGGAGCTGTGGCCCACCAGCTTAGCTTGCTCTGCGGCATGTGGCATCTTCCTGGACCAAGGATTGAACTTATGTCCCCTGCATCGGCAGGAGGGCCTATTCTTGACACTGGACCACCAGGGAAGTCCCTCTCCTCACTCTTATGGAGGGCCTGGTCCTGTATCCAGCAGGTCACAAGTTCTCAATCAAGATGGTCGGTGTCACGCACCAAGAGCCTACGCATTGTCAAGCACTCCTGGAAACCAGGATTTCAAAATAAACAAACATGATTCTGTCCCAAGGAAGCTCAACACACGAAGAGACCAACTTGCACAGCCTGTACAAAAATACATGGGTTTTTAAAAAAAAGAGAGAGAGAGTGAAACAAAAATCACATAACATAAAAATCTACCTACACATAAAATCAACCATTTTAGAGTGAACAGTTCAGTGGCATTTAGTGTAATCTGTTATGCAAGCATCACCTCTAATTCCAAAATATTCATGGTCCTGAAAAGAAGCCCCCGTCCCCATTCAGCCATCACTCATCACTGCTCAAACTGCCTGGAGCCTGGAAACCACTAGTCTACTTCCTGTCTCTGTGGATTTGCCCATTGCGGAGACTTCATAGAAATGGAACTATGCAACGTGTGACCTTTTGTGTCTGGGCTCTTCCACTGAGCATCACGTGTCCAATGTTCATTCACACTGTGACTTGTATCAGTACTTTATTCTTTCCAGGTATATATCGAAAACAATTAGAAACAGGGATTCAAACAAAACTTGCACACGGATGTTCACGGCAGCATTATTCACAGTAGTCAAAAGATAGAAACAACCCAAATGTCCATCAACTGGTGAATGCATAATCAAAATGTGGCAAAAACAAACAATGGAATGTTATCCAGCCATACATGGGGCTCTTCATGTACATGATTTCAGTGAATCATCAGAAAGAGGCTGGAGAATGCATCATGTTTTATTTCCCCAGTTTTGGGAGGAAAAGATAGACTATCAGTCCCATTGTCAGCCTCATGTCTCCCAGCCCTACCTGCTTCAAAGTCAGCTGTGTCCCTGAAAACATGGGTATCACGGGCTGACCTCCTGGCTCACATCCCTGGAGCACGCCTGCACAGGTGGTTATAGAATGTAAGGTGGAGCTTCGCCTCCACTCCATACCATCCAGGCTCAGCCTGCATCTAACCCAAGAGCCTTTGATGATGATGTGTGTGCTCTGTGTCCAACTCTTTGTGACCCCATGGACTGTAGCCTGCCAGGCTCCTCTGTCCATGGGATTCTCCAGGCAAGAATACTGGAGTGCGTTGCCATGCCCTCCTCCAGGGGATCTTCCCAGCCCAGGGATCAAACCCATGTCTCTTGTGTCTCCTGCATTGGTAGGTGAATTCTTTACCACTAGCGCCATCCGGGAAGCCCCAAGAGCCTTTAACATGACCTTACAAAATTCTCCCTCCTCCACCACCCCAAGGGAGTTTCCCTCCCACACTGGCCAAAATCACTCATTCACATTCAGGGTAACATTACTATGACCGTGTCAAGGATCTCTGGCTTCTTATGAATCACCAATTCACTTTACTGAACATAAATTGCATTCTCTTTCATATATAGCTTTAACCTACTTAATTAGAGTCCTGATTTACTTTTTTTAAGGGGGGGAAAACACACCTTAACCGTACAATGGGCTAAAATTATACCTTAGGAAAAGACGCGATTGTTTCCTGACCATGAACTTTTGCTTTTATGAATTGCTAATTTGGCTAATGGGCTCATTCTGCTCAGAAATTTGCATCATGAAAATTACTAGCTTCGAAGAGTCCTCTGTGTACGACGCAGTTTGCACGTTTTGTTGTAAAGGTCACATTTGACATCGTAAAACAGCGGGCCCTTTTGAAAAGGTACAAATGTAAGGATTTAAGTGGCCCCATTGGTATAATGTCATTGGGAAGGAGGGAGGAAAGATTTTTAAGTTAATTTTTATTCCTGTTGTTTACGTGAGTGCTGGCTGAGCTGGATTCCATGTGAATCCCTTCTCGTACCTAACACGCTATCAGCTGAACTTGTGGTTCGGGGACACCAGTGACCGGAAAGGTCCTGTCACAAGCACTGGTGGCATGGGGCGGGGGGGTCTCAAGTCAACAAAAGAATAAACGATACAGAGGGCTCCATCATCCTCATCTGAGTAGACTCAGAGTGTGGGCAACGCAGACACTGGACATCAAATCGTCATGTAAGTGCTGTCACGGGACCCTGTACTTAAAAATATCTGGGATTTTTTTTTTTTTAAATGCTGGGATTCAACTGAGTCTGACAGCAATGAGTCAAGAGATGTTCACTGCCCCCGTTGATGGCGGGGGCGGGGGTACACTTCTGGATATCCTTGGGCTGCACATGTGAAGTCAGATGCACACAGCATCTCCATCCCTCGGGGCAGAGCAACCTTACCTCGTGCTTTTAGGAAGCCTTGTGGGGCTCAGGGGAAGAGGACATGGAGCCAGGTCCTCGTGCATAGAAGCTCTGAGAAGGAAATGTTGTTGTAAGAGGCTCAGTCACCTTCCTGAGTGCCTGAGGCAAGGAGCAGAGGCCAACAGCACCCCAGGAAAAAGGGTGGCCACGAAAGCACATACATTTTAACAAAGAGGCAGTCTTGGGTTAATGGAGGGTCGCCCAGTTCATAGAACATTGATCCCATTTTTTCACTGATCTGGCCAAGAGCTGATCAAGAACATTGATCCCATTTCTTTACTGATCTAGAAGTCATTTTGCTTTGATTTCATGTCTCCACTGGGTGTGGCAATCTCCCACAGGCTGGGGTATTGTTGAAAAGCCTTTTCAGAAGTAACACAGAGCAGACACCTCCCCATGTCACCGAACTTGTAGGCGAGGGGACAGATCACACGCTAATGTGAGGATGTAATACTTTTGCTTCCTGTCAGGGCTTCAAGAAGTCCCTCCCAGAGGACACAGTGGGCACCCTGCCTTGGGCATCAGGGGGTGGGTCAGGAGATGGCACTGAAGTGGGTGTTTTGCTGGATGATGAGTGGGTTCCCAGGGCGGACAGGAACCCCACTCCTGGAGTTCCATGCATGCTGCCCTTGGGACTGGAAGCCCTGGGTGGAACTAGAAAGGAGGACCAGCTGGGCACACGGGCAGGGCCGAGCAAAATGGGCACAGAGCGTGTGCTTTTGAATACACACTTTTCCAGGGGCCACAGGTGGCACCAAAGAGCACCCTCCCTGTGGTACCTTCTCTTAACCAAGTCCTGGGTAGAACATGGGCTTACGAGAACAGCATCTGAGCAAACAGTCCTTTGTGACAAAGAGAAAGAAAGACCCCTTCCTCTCCCCAGAGCACGTGGGGCCTCCCTCCCCTCCTTCTGTAATTACCTCTAGTAAATTCCCCATTCATCTGCACAACGGTTTCTATTCAGGGAGGACTCGAGGCTGTGCTGCGGGGAGGCGGGGGGCGGCCAGGCACATTCAGACTTGCACAATCTCCAATCACCGCACCTGATGGGATGAGCATTTGCTTATGTGAAATTTTCATTTCAATCCCAGCCTCAGATTGCACCATTTCACAGCCATGCTCCCCAAGCACTTACACACAGAAGGCTTTTCTTTCTTCCAGTCCTGCACAAGTGTTACCTAATTAATGTTCAACAATGTTACCAAACCTCCCTCTTTTAAGACGTATCAACCTGGAAAGGTCTGGAATTAAGGATTTTGATCTCGAATGGATTGCTTTCATGTATTTCGGATAATTCGCACAGCTGCTTAAAGACAGATATTCATCAACTATAAACAGCCTCAAGTTCGAGTAGCTACATAAATAAATCTTTTCCTTATCTCTCCCGGCAGCCTCCCTCTGCCTGCTTGGGCAGCAAAGGGATCAAAAATTCTCCCTCACAGACTCAGTCAATGAACACTCGGACTCTAAAGTGAATGATGCTTCAGCCAAGCAGAATAAACTACCAGCCTGAGACTCTCCGGAGGCTTCCCCGAGTCCAGACCGCAGGCTCCCGCCTTGCTCCTCAAAGTGTGGCTGAGGCAGCATAACTGGGAGCTCACCAGAAATGCAAAATCGGGAACCCCACCTCAGACCTACTGAGCCAGGATCTGCATTTTAGCCAAATCCTCAGGTGACCCAAGATGCTCTGGTGTTAAAATCCCTTCACGAACTGACCCCTGACCACCTCCAGGCATGGCACTGGTCCCCTCGCTCTATTTCACGGGCCTCCTTGCTGTTCCTCAAACTCAGCACACATGCCCAGTCTCAAGACACTTACCCTGGCTCTTCTCTCTGCCCAGGTTGATTCCTCAAGCCACACCTGCAAACACATCCAGGGGGTGCCCTTCACGTGGCCTGCCTCCAGTCTACCACATGAGCAGTGTCCCTGGAGCCGGGCGGCTCAGCTGCCCTGTGCAAGGATCCGGATCAGTTCCCACCCTTCCAAGAAGACTCCCTGCTCACCACTAGCTAAAGAAAACTTCTGCAACTCTGCCCACCCCGCCCCACTTCATAGCCCTCACCACTGCCTGACATCACACCTTACATCTGTTTCCTTATGTAGTTTATTGCCTATCTTCCTCTGGTAGGGTTCATTCTCTGTGAAATCAGGGACTTTGTATTTGCCACCACACACATGCACACGCACACACACACTGAACTTTCAGCACCTAGAACAAAGCCTTCTTATAACTGGTACACCAAGCATGTGTGCATGTGTGAAAATGGATGTGTACACGTGTATATGCATGGTTCACAATAACTTGGGACTGATGGATATAGTGAACTTTTGTGTAAAATAACTCCCTTCATTTCTGCAGATCGTCCAGAGAGTCACACGGTCGGGCTCAACGCCAAGGAAAGGGCCCCCACACCTGGGCAAGAGGCCACTTCTGGTCCTTGCATGCTGCAGAAGCCTCGTATGTTCTTACAATGTCCCTTGGATGCACATAAAGCAAAAGTGACCCACACAACTCCCATCAAATACAACACCCAGCACCAAGGAAAGAAACAGTCAGGTGCTCAGTGAACACTACTGATGGGAAAGTAAGGCTCTGTGTAGGGAGGGACCAAAGAGATGCTTGGTTTGTCTGGCTAACATAACGGTTCTTATGTTAGCAGGAGAGAGCTCATAACCAAACTCTGTGTGGCTTCAAAGGCTCAAGTGAATGAATCCTCAATCATAATGAGAAGAACGAAGTGGGGCCGACCCAGGGCACTAGACACTATGACTACTCTCTGCTGACACCCAAGTAAACACAGTCATCTGGTTGCACTCCTATGTTGATCAAGCTCCTGCCTCGGGACATACAGCCTGATAGAACCTGTAAAAAGTGAAGCAGTTCAGATGAAGATGGCGGCATTAGAGTGATGATGAATTGACACTCCCCCCAATGCTTGGTGTTAGGGGCAATAGAGAGTGGTGGGGACTGTGGCAAAGGGGTCTTGCTCTTGCCCAGGGTCAAGGGGGCAGCTGCTGACCAGTTTACCAATGTTATTTTGGGATTTGGACCCAGTGTTACCAGATCCTCTTCAGGCTTTCTTAAACCTCCTTGTTTTGAAACACTGAGACATAGATCCAAACTTTGAACAACTCTGCAAGCAAATAAAGTACATCTGTGGGTGAGACATACTCATAGGTCATCCTCATGAGGATAACAGCTTAGATATTTGAAGTTCCAGCCTTTATGTCTTCATCAGTGCAATTGTGGGCACCTCCTATACACACTTGCGTGTGTGTGTACAAAAAATTGTAGAACATCTCTGATAGGAAGCCAAGGAGAGGACCAAGCATGCAGGCAAAATCCGTTCTGCCTCAGGATTAGCTCAGTCTCCATCCTAGAGGGTTGTAGGGGCCTCACCACTGGGAAAGGAGTATATCAAGGCTGTATATTATCATCCTGCTTATTCGACTTATTTTGCCCAAAGGACAGAATAGCCATGGACCTCCTACATCTTCAGAGAGGAAACACTGCATAAAACTGGATCCCTCAGCACTTTTTCAAAGAGGCTTGGTGCTCGGCCAAGGAAAAGGTGTCCTTTCCCCAGGGGATGGCTGTCATCCATACCTGAGCAGGTGGGAGAGGTCCCTGGAGCCGAAGTGGGATAAACGCGCCTTCCTCATCTTTCAACCAGGGACAGAAAGCTTTCAACGTGGAACATGGGTTCTTTCTTATTACAGCATGAGTGTAGGAATCTTTCTCCACCCTCAGGGGGCTCATCCCCACCAGATTCCTCAGTGAACTACTGAAATGACCAGAAGTGGAACTAGACAAGTGCCATCAGAGTCTCGTGCAGAGCAGGGCAGAAAGATATCACTCCCTAAACAGTTCATAAGGGAACGAAAAATAATAAAAGCCGTATTTATGGAGCACACGAGGTGCTCAATATACCAGGTACATTACATTAAATGTGTTACAGACATTCGCTCAGTAAGTCCACACGACTCTTATGAGTAGATATTATTTTATCATCTGAGGCTCAGAGACATTAAATTACATCCTAAGGGCTACCTGGAGGAAATAGCAGGGCAGAAACGAGACCCCTGGACACCGGGCTCTAGAGATCACCTCTCTAACGAGTGAGCTATGACTGAATCCACTGCAGTCAGAGACGGGGGTTCCAGGAAGCTGGCTACCCTCTCCCACCCTGGATGGTGACCCAGTGCTTAATTGTCGGAGGCAGTTTGAAAGCTTGCTTTAGGTTGATTTGCTTCTTTCTCAGCGGCGTGTCAGCTACTGCCCGGCATGATAGCTTATTTAAAATATCGGGTAGAAATAAGATTCGCTGTGAAATTAGTTGTAGACAAGCTCAGAAACTGCTAATGATGCAGAGATAATAAGGGGATTTGCAGAAAACACTGATATTGCATTATGATTAGTGAGCAGAGCTTCACCCCTTGAAGCCTGCAGGCCCGAGCTCCCACAAGAAGAACAAATGCATATGCATTAGCGGCGCATGCTGACAGACCCAGGCTCCTGGGGCCAGCAGGCTCAGGCCTCCCAGTCAGGGGCTCAGAGCTCAGCTCTGATTTGCAAAAATGATTAATTTGTGGGTTTTGAGAATGAGAAATGTTTACTTCCCAAGTCTGAGAGAAACCAAAGGCCGGTCCTAAATCAAACTCCCATTTGAAAATGAGAACAAGCCACGGCAGTTCCAGAAGGAGGCCTCGCCGGTCCTGCCTGGTCCGCTGCCCAGGGCGCCTCAGGCAGCTCTCCTGGGGTTTGATCTCCTGGGGTTTGCACGCCTGCCTGTAGCCCATGGGCACCGGAGAGGTGAGGGCAGCTGGGAAATCACGGGCATCTTGCCACTGTTTTGTTCAGTCGAGGAGGCAGTTTGAAAGCTTGCTTTAGGTTGATTTGCTTCTTTCTCAGCGGCGTGTCAGCTACTGCCCGGCATGATAGCTTATTTAAAATATCGGGTAGAAATAAGATTCGCTGTGAAATTAGTTGTAGACAAGCTCAGAAACTGCTAATGATGCAGAGATAATAAGGGGATTTGCAGAAAACACTGATATTGCATTATGATTAGTGAGCAGAGCTTCACCCCTTGAAGCCTGCAGGCCCGAGCTCCCACAAGAAGAACAAATGCATATGCATTAGCGGCGCATGCTGACAGACCCAGGCTCCTGGGGCCAGCAGGCTCAGGCCTCCCAGTCAGGGGCTCAGAGCTCAGCTCTGATTTGCAAAAATGATTAATTTGTGGGTTTTGAGAATGAGAAATGTTTACTTCCCAAGTCTGAGAGAAACCAAAGGCCGGTCCTAAATCAAACTCCCATTTGAAAATGAGAACAAGCCACAGCAGTTCCAGAAGGAGGCCTCGCCGGTCCTGCCTGGTCCGCTGCCCAGGGCGCCTCAGGCAGCTCTCCTGGGGTTTGATCTCCTGGGGTTTGCACGCCTGCCTGTAGCCCATGGGCACCGGAGAGGTGAGGGCAGCTGGGAAATCACGGGCATCTTGCCACTGTTTTGTTCAGTCGTTCAGTCGTGTCTGACTCTTCGCAGTTCCACAGACTACAGCACACCAGGCATCGGGCTTCCCTGTCCTTCACTATCTCCCAGGGTTTGCTCAACCTCATGCCAAACTCATTGAGCTGGTGATGCCATCCAACCATCTTATCCCCTGCCACTCCCTTCTCCTCGTGCCCTCAACCTTTCCCAGCATCAGGGTCTTTTCCAATGAGTCAGTTCTTCACATCAGGTGGAGTATTGGAGATTCAGCTTCGGTATCAGTCCTTCCAATAAATATGCAGGGTTGATTTCCTTTAGGATTGACTGGCCTGATCTCCCTGCTCTCCAAGGGACTCTCAAGAGTCTTCTCCAGCAGCACAGTTTGAAAGCATCAGTTCTTTGGTGCTCAGCCTTCTTTATGGTAAAACTCTCACATCCATACATGACCACTGGAAAAGCCATCTTGCCATACCAGTTAGTAACGAATGGTTTCCCTGACCTTGTGAAATGGCCTGGGCTCATTTTTCCACCGTCTCTGCTGCTGCTGCTAAGTCACT